GATGGAGTTTCGCTCTTGTTGCCCAGGCTGGAGTGCAGTGGTGCCGTCTGGGTTCACTGCAACCTCTGCCTCCCGGGTTCAAGCGATTCTCCTGCCTCAGGCTCCCGAGTAGCTGGGATTACAGGCGCCCGCTGCCATGCCTGGCTAATTTTTTGTATTTTTAGTAGAAACGTGGTTTCACCATGTTGGCCAGGCTGGTCTCGAACTCCTGACCTCAGGTGATCCACCCGCCTGGGCCTCCCAAAGTGCTTGGATTACAGGCATGAGCCACCGTGCCTGGCCTAACAGGGATCATTTCTAATGATCTTTGCATCATTAGAAAAACTAAACTTTAGCTGAGTGCTTTGAAGACCTGCCTGAATGCCTAGATTAAAGCTTAGGTCGATTCAAAACTACTTGGAGTTAGTGTTTTGACAGGAAAGCTTGGATGATAAAGTTCGTCTGTTGCTTTAAAAATGATGTATGTAGCCTCAGCTCTAGTGAGGATTAGAAGGGCTTCTGATAGCTTCCCATTCCTTTTTCAGAGAAGTAACCAAGCCCAGAGAGAGCCCAGGTCTTCAGGTGGAGCTCATCCCCTGCGGGCCTCATCTTCCATCCTGAGCTGCTGATGTTCTCTAGAGGTGTCAGGGCACCTGGCTAATGGATAAAGCGCAAGTGCCTTAGGACTTTGTGGTTACAGTTGGGGCCTGTTATTACATACAGCTGTTAGATCAGGAGACACTCAATTACTTTTCTTTTCGAGAACTATGCAGCAGCGTTCAGTTGAGTCCAAAGTTGGACTCATTCTGGGAACTCACCAGTAACTGCTTTGTTGCAAGAATTGAAGCAGCCAAACTTGTTGAGAGAAAGTGTCCTCATTATAAATCAGAGTAAGTGTCTTCACCAAAATTAGGAGTCCTAGGCAACATTGTAGGTGGGTTTGGAAAAAATAAAACTTGGATTAAAAATTTAAGTTTTAGATGCCATGTGGGATTAAAGTTGGATTTTCTTACATCTGTGTCCCTGACAGCGGCAGCTTTTCGTTGGCCAATGCCAGGTGCTGGGGATTGGGGCGTCGCCTGTCTACGCCACATTAGCTTTTCGGTGATGCTCCTTGGTCAGCATTTCTCCTATTTCCGTCCTATGTGGGCACTGCAGGCTACCATTTAGGGCCTAGAAATTGGGTGCAATTACCAAACAGTTTTAGACAACGTATTTCAAAAGGAAATGCTGTGTTTAGATGTCATGGGAAGTGGGACAGCTGAGTTTCAGAGTGCCAGCTTTGGAGCCCAACCAAATTCTCGTGTGTCAAACGCAGATCATAAAACCTGCTAGCGTTGTTAGGCGTCTTAAGTGATAGACTGGAAAAAGCTCACGTTGCGAGACATGCAATTAAACTGCATTTCTTGAGTGATTATTGATAACAGTGGTGAGTGAGACTCTTAAGTTGTAGACCCTGCAGGTTTTTTATGTTTAATTTTCTTTTTTGAACAATTTTTGGAAGTAATACTTTTAGATAATTTGGAAAATGTAAAAAGTATGCATGTGAAAATAAAATTATCTCTAATCTTACCTCTGAGTATTTTAACTATTGTTGGTGATTATCTTAGCCTTATCCACCCGGATTTTATAAACATATCCTCGCATATATGCTC